CGCACAGGAACAGGAAGCTCTGAGTGATGCTCTCAGCACTGTTACACAGGTTCCCCTCACAACATGAGGCACTCTGAACATCTCTAACCAATGTCTTGGTATTACACAAAGATTTAGAGACACAGCCTTTTAGAACCATTAACTGGCCTTCGAAACTCTCTGATGAAAAGAAAGAAAACACAGGTTGAGTCTAAGTTTTACTGGTCTATATGATATGTATTAAAAGTTTAAACATACAAAAAAACAACAACAACAACAACAACTTTAATCTTCTTTCTTTTTCCTTAAGCAGATTCTCACCTGTTGCTGTAATGCAGTGGTCTTCACTCCCTGTACAGCGCAATATGTTTGAGCAGCTCTGTCCATCACAAGAGTAACATTTCTTTCCATTTGGGGCAAGAGAGTTGGGATCTACAGGAGGAAAACCAGTATTCTTTTATTTTATTGTCCGTACAAAATATAACATCTAATGAAACAACCCTCTGTTAGCTGCTCCATCCAATCAGTTCACAACTGACAAGCCACAGCCTTTATTTTATTTCCTCTTTGAAAGTACTGTAAAAAAGTTTGATGAAATGATTACCGTTTGAAGTTGAAACAACACATTGTTACTTATTGTACTGTTGTACATTTGCATATGGCCAGTAAAGCACAATACCTGGAGCGTCGTGGACGTTACAAAGATCAGTGTCACAGCAAACTGAAGACGTCCTTACAATGCTGACATTCATGGACCCATTTACACAGTCAGAAACACAATGTTTAAGCTTCACGTTAGCACTGATGCCACCTAAAAACATGAATGATTCAGGGGGAAAAAAACAGTTCAACAGTGCAAATTATTCTGATGATAAATTGATATGTCAAATTTTGTGAGTTTTCAGATATAAATCGTATTGTTAACAGAACAATCTGAAGGAAAACAAATGAAATATCTTTATTTGACCCTCTAACTCTAGCACTCTCTATTCTAATTCTATTCTAAAAAAAAAAACTCGTCCCTTTTAGACTTGCACGCTATTCATTTACTGCTTGTTTTCTTTAAAAAGAAATTCGAATCTTTCTGTATTCTATCTATTTGGGTTCTTTTTATTTATTATACAATTAACAAAAGCAAAAAAGGCCTCTAACACTAGCTTGCTCTATTCTTTTTCTATTCTATCTGTTTTTTAATTTATTATATAATAATAAAAAAAAAAAGTTGCTACGTGTGAGCGTTAAGCTAACTGAGACTTGTTATAACACATGTATATCATTGCTCTCTTGTTGATTTTGATTGCTTCCATTTGTCTGCTAAATGACTAAATGTAAATATCAGAAATACAGAATATTTTGTGTTTGAATTAGTATGTTCCTCCAGGAAAATGAGTAGCAGTTCTGTTACATTTCAATCCATCATATTGGACTTACCAACGTCTGACACTGATGTTATACTTGAGCACTTGGAATTTGCACTGTAGCAGATTTCTACCTTTTGATCCGCACAAGAACCCGTCATACTGTCACAATTATAACAGCTGAAAGAGTGTCCTTTAGTAATAAACACAGAGAGACAGTGAGAGAGAAACATCTATTATCTGTATTAGCACTCAGTAACATTACAAACACTATTTGTCTTTGTACCTGCAGTGAAAAGAACGAACAGAAAAAAAAAACGAGATTTGCAGATCCATCTTTGATCAGGAGGTGAATGAGATGACGTATCTGTTTCAGTGCTCATTTTATAGCTTATCAGAAGGTGTGGGTCTTTATGTTAAAGTTTAACACAAGTCTCGATGGGATGTTTGATAAGGAATTACAGTCTACTAAACAATTTTAAAGGGACAGGTCACCCAAAAGTGACAATCCTGTCATCATTTATTCATGTCATTCCAAGCCTGTTTGATGTTCTTTCTTTAGTGGAACACAAAATAAGATATGTGAAAAATGTCTCTGTGTTTGTGTGTGTTTTTGTCCATAAAATGAAACCCATTGGGGTTCAGTGTTGTTTGGGCTCCAAAGGTCTTTAAATATCTTCTTCTTGTGTTCTGCAGAAGAAAGAAAGTCATGCATACTTTGTTTACCAATGAATGCTGTATTATCTACATTCAGTATCTACATCCAATTACTTGTTTAATTTGTACGATCTTTTCACTTTATTATACTGTATTGTTGTAAAAAATTAAAGGTTTTATGACCTACTCTCACACACACTCATGAAACATTGTGTTTAAACAGAACCAGTTTCCTTTTCTGTGAGATAACGAAGGATCAGACTTGAGACGTCAGAAGATTTAATGACCTAGAACGCATCAGGTTGTCTTACTATCACTCTTTATGCATATATGTATGTGGGTCAAAGACGAAAAAGGGTTTAAGCATAAAAACAATAAGTGTAATACTGCTTTAAATTGTTGTTGTTTTCCCCCCCAAAAAATTAAAAAGTTTTCTGTTTAATTTAATTGCAATTTTGTTTTTGTTTTTCAAAAAATAAATATCATACATTTTTCCCTGACTAAAATGTCATTCAGTGTAACAATCTCAGCACTGGGTTGTATTTAACCCAGCATTTTTTAGAGTGTATTAATGTCGTTATACCTCAATCAAACCTTTTGTCTCCTTGGATGTGTTATTGTATAGTGACACCCCGATGTTTAAGGAAATGTTGTGATGCAGTACAAACTGATAATTCATCTCAACACATAACCTGACAGATATCACAGCCACACCCAAACATAATGAGAAGTCCATGTTTGCATTGAAGAAAAAAAGCTTTCTGGAATGAATAGATAAAACAGTATATGTGGCAGATTTTTGTAGCTGATTATCACATATAAAATACAAAATTTGATTTAAACATCATAGTGTACTTACAGCAAATGTAATGTTGTGGTTATTTCTATCAGACGGTTTGCTTCCTATATTCATTTCAGAGATAAAGTAAACTTTTTTTCATTCAACTCAACTATGCATGTGCACAGGAAAAGGTCAGAGAAGGACATTTTATTATAATTTATTATCATAATCATAAACACACTGGTTTGTAGCACAAATAGCTTTACCATTTGTTGCACGTTAGTTATTATTATATATACAGTACAGTATAATGATTCGTCTCGCACTTTTACAACAATAGCATACTTCAGCGTTAAGATCAATTAAATACTTCGTTAGTTTGTTCGAGAGCAGGAAGGCCTAAAAATGGATACCAAGGTTGCTTTGTTTCTGCTCAATACGTTGAAACAAGAACCAAGATATGATTGAAATATCAGCTATAGTTACAGGACAGATTGGAGAGTTTGTCTGGATGGAGCAATAAAGGGACTGTGTGTCTTTATTTTGGTGTCGATGTCAAATATCATCATGGTTTCTCAGAAATCACTTACTGCACCTTTAAACCCAACTAGACCAAAAGTAATGGACGTAAATGAAGGAAAATGCAGAGAAAGATGTTTAATATATGTAAATCCTTTATTACAGAAGTTTAGCACTCTGTTTGTTTAATTCTTTATTGCATTCTATTATAACTTTTCATTTTATCTTTATAGGCAAATACATATTTGAATATATATGAAAAGGAAGGGGAAGAGAAAATAAAGGAAATATATAGTCTTGACTCTTGACTGAGTACGCTACAAAATGACTGCAGATATTGCAAACACATTATTATTGTCAGGGATTCATCACAGTCACTTCAGTCACCATCCAGGATAATTACCCGATCACAGTCACCTGAGTTCTGATCACCCACACCTGCTGTCACCAATCAAGCCACACTACAAATACACACACAGCACAGTCACTCACTGTCCGGTCTACCGTTCACTCCTACGAACTTCTCTGGACTCTCTCTGCCAAATTCTCCTAGAACGAATTACCTGCTGTTCCTCCCGCGATCCTCCAACGACTCCTTGGAAACTGTTCCACGATCTCCAAAACTTATTTGAAACCTTAAAAGTAGACACTTTACTTACATTTAATGTGCTTTCTATGGACATAAAATCACTTTGTAAATTTCTTTTCATGCGGACATCTTAACGTCTTTGTCGTGATTGATAAAAAATGGTCATACGTATGTTCTGATTAAATTAAATGAGTAGTTTTGTTTTAAACAAGCAAAAAATATGAGCACTTTTGATATATCAATGTATTGTTTTAAGCAATATTTCAGTACAAGCATAATGAAAATAACCACCAAAGCAAACAGTGAATCGATTTTCTGTTTATTTAATTTTTTTAATAATAATAATTTAAATATTAAATATTAAGGTATTTAATTATAAGTACACTCTAAAAAAATGCTGGGTTAAATACAACCCAGTGCTGGGTAAAATAGGGACAAACCCAGCAACAGAGGAACGTTCCTGGGTGGCCAGGGACGACATTCTGGACCCGTTGCTTCTAGAGGACTTCCATCGCACCCATCCTGGTCGCCCCGCACCCAGAAGCCGTGGCCGCCCCCGCCGCCGCTCGAGGGCGTCAGGAGCCGCCCCTGGAGGGGGGGGTAATGTCAGGGATTCATCACAGTCACTTCAGTCACCATCCAGGATAATTACCCGATCACAGTCACCTGAGTTCTGATCACCCGCACCTGCTGTCACCAATCAAGCCACACTACAAATACACACACAGCACAGTCACTCACTGTCCGGTCTACCGTTCACTCCTACAAACTTCTCTGGACTCTCTCTGCCAAATTCTCCTAGAACGAATTACCTGCTGTTCCTCCAACGACTCCTTGGAAACTGTTCCACGATCTCCAACGTAACCGGCATCCGATCCTCACCATCAGAACTCAGATAAGCACCCTGGAACCATTCACTGTGTTGACACTCACCTGCCTTTAACTCACCTATTCCAGTCATCCCCTTACCCAGTCAATAAACCATCCTGATTTGCACTTACCTGTTGTGTCTGGCCTTGCTTTGTGACAATTATATATTAATTTTTTAATTTTTAATAATTATTTGTCTGTTACAGATTTTCTGTTCCCCAAATCATGATACCAAAGAACACCAGAACAACATGCACACTTCATTCAGTAAAGTATGAATAGAAACGTGTGTGACATTCAGTTTCTGCTGCAGCTGTAGAATCTGAAGTGCAGCTGGACTCAATGAAACAGGAAGTAGAAGAGCAGAGGAGACAACAGCAGGAGGAAGCTTCCCTTATACACACCATCTGATCAAGACAATAAGAAAATCACTGTTAATTAATGCAACAACTAGTAATAAAAGCAATTAAAAACTGCTTATTCATTGATAAATTTCATCACAATAAAAACTCTCCGAAAGCACTTGACTAATTCATAAGATTCCTGCCGGTCAAGTTTTGCACACTATTCAGGACGCTTTTGAAATGTGATATTATGTTCCTTTAAACAATCACTTGTGTTTGTCCTATTAGGCCTATTCTTTGTATTACTTCCTCATTCTAAGTCACTGTGGGAAAAATCAATAGCACATGATCTTATAAAGAACAATACCTGCTGCATTGCAGAGGTCAGTGTCACAGTAGTGGGAAGTTATTGACCCAGTCGGGATCTGTTGGGTCCCAGCTTCACATGTAGGTGTACACAGCTTAGTTGTACTGCTCAGCTTAATGGGACCTTCAAAAACATACATAATAACCTTCAAAATAATGAAACATCAACAAACAAATCTCTGTAGGACAATGAAACTGTTATTTTCACTGTACAAAAACAGTTAAGCTGCTTGATATTTCATACTGATATTTCTTATCATATTTTAATGTATTGTCGCAATCATAAACACACTGGTTTGTAGCACAAATAGTTGTACTGTTTACTGCAATTATTATGCACTTGTTACTCTAGTTATTTACCTTTACTAATACACTCTAAAAAATGCTGGGTTAAATATGGACAAACCCAGCGATTGGGTTGTTTTCAACCAACAGTTGGGTTAAATGTTTAACCCAACCTTCTGGGCAGTAACCCAACCGCTGGGTCAAAAACAACCCAATCGCTGGGTTTGTCCATATTTTACCCAGTGCTGGGTTGTATTTAACCCAGCATTTTTTTTAAAGTGTACCTATAGCAGAAATGAGCACTTCCATGAGAAATTACATTTCCATTGTTTCAGCACCAGTAAATTATAGCAGCATCTCCATCAGTCAAACATAACAGCACGTTTCAATTAATCACGTTGGACTTACCAAGTTCTGTCACTGTTGTTATACTCATGCACTTGGAAGATCCACTGGGGCACGTTGTCACATTTTGATTTGCACAGGAACCCATCAGACCCAAACACTCATAACATCTGAGAGAGTGCCCTTAGTAATAAAACAGAGACAGTGAGAAAGAGACACCTATTATATCTATTTGATATCTATTATCTCTAACCCTAACCCAGTAACATTACAGACACTATTTGTCTTAGTACCTGCAGAGAAAAGAACGGACAGAAGAAAAACTGAGATTTGCAGATCCATCTTTGATCAGGAGGTGAATGAAATAATTTCCGTCTGTTTTCAGTGCCCATTTTATAGCTTATCAAATGGGAGGGTCTTTATGAGACAGTGACAGTTTAACAGAAGTTTCTGGACATTTCTGGAATCAGAAACATCAGCTTAAAAAAAATACATGGAAAATATACTGTTGATTTTCTGCAAAAGACATTGTCTATTAATTTTACAGGCATTTCTGTAAACCCTAAAACACAACACAACGAAGTGCAAAAAAACAATACAGGAAAAGTTGATACAGAAAATTTCTTTATATCAATACAGCACAATGTAGCCCATTTTTATGGATTTTTTTTTTTACAGTGTACATAATTTACTTGGAAGTTAATTATAAAGGAATGTTTTTAATATAAAAAGCCAGAAGTCCTAAGAAAGTAAAGTAGCAAATAATAGATAGCAAAATAGCGAAATAATTAAATTAAAGAACAGAAAAGTGGATTTTAAAAATGATTAAATCAACAAGATGGTCTAAGGCACAGGTTGATGAAACTACATTAGTTTTATACAAGCAAGAAATATGGTTTTGATATATTAATATATTATTTTAAGTAATATTACAATACTGGCCTAATGACAATAACCACCTAAACAATCATACATTTTCTGTTAATATAATCATAAGTTCTTAAATATTTTATTAAGTATTTAGTTTTAAGTATAGTATGATGCTCTTAGTGGTGTAAATGTATGTGATAATAAGCTACATAAATCTGCAACATTTAAAATATGTATTACGTTAGATCAAATTATAATTTGATCAGAGAGATTGTGTGCTGTGTAAATACAGTATGATGGTTACTGTAGTTCTAGACTAAATGTGATCATGCATTTACTCATCTCAGTTGCACAAAAACAGATTCATCATTTCTACAAATAAAAAAAAACATAACATAAATATGTTAAATAATTCAAATTTTCTTTATGTATTCAATCCCAGTTTATTAACCAGTGTCTTTGCTGCTGACCTTCAGTTATCTAGTTTAACCACACTAATAATCAAAAATGACTTTCGAGGAACATAACATTTGTGTTTCTTTTTTCTTTTCTTTTCTTTTCTTTTCTTTTAATTGCTGAAGAGCATTGATCTTTCTTCTTCTGTGTGCTATTCTGCATGCAATTCAGTATGGCAGCATAATGGGCTATAAGCTCAGATTTAAAAAGTAAAGAAAAAGTAATGCAGAAGTAACGTAACGCATTACTAAGCAGTAACAAAATTAGTTACTGTTTTAGGAAGTAACGCTACAGTGTAATGCATGATTTTTAAACGTAACTTTCCCCAACATTCATCAGAATCATAAATACACTGGTTTGTTGCACAGATAGTTTGACTATTTGTGGCACTCCGTTGTTTTTCTTGTTATTTTCATGTAGTGGCTTATGAATCAGACGTCTCGCTCATTTACAGTAGCATACTTCGGCACTGCAAGATAAATGAAATAGTTTATTAGTTTGTTATAGAGAGAGGGAAGACCTGAAATCGGATGCCGAGTTTGCTTTGTTTCTGCTCGATACACAAGTAACAATGGTTTAGCTTTGCTTCACAGAACCATGATGTTCTAATACCAGCTATAGAAACAGTACAGGTTGTTGCATAGCGTGTATCTTCGATTTGGACGCGGAGCAATGAAGCGAGGGGTGTTTGTTTTGGTGTTGATTTTAAATATCATTGTTTCTCAGAAATCGGAGACGGCTGTTTCTGACCTGCAGAACCTTCTGACTCGCACTCTCATGCTGCGGCCCACCACCACTTCATATATATATATATATATATATATACACTGACTCCAAGCTTTTGAATGGTATAGTGTATAATTTTACAAAAGTTTTTTATTTCAGATAAATGCTGATCTTTGGATCTTTCTATTCATCAAAAAATCCTTAAAAAAGATGTACTCAACTGTTTTAAATATTGATAATAATAATAATAAGAAATGTTTCTTGAGCAGCAAATCAGTATATTAGAAATATTCACAGAAATAAATTACATTTTAAAATATATTCAAATAGATATCACACTCATATCACATCTAGTTGTTTTGGATAAGAATAAAACGTCAGGTCCGACAATATCGTGTATTTTATAATTTAAATCTATATTTATTCGCATTGACCCATGGAAACCTCTATGAACAAAATTGATTTGGCCAAAAAATCGCGTAGGGCGAATTTACGTTTTATTAAAAAGGGTTTTCGTATTCTACACTAATGGCGCGCACACACATTAGGATAGGTTAGATGCCTGCCTCCATTGCGAGTCCCTATCGAGCACTTTACCGATTCAACTACTCTCCTCTCCTCCTGCCTGGCTCTTTGGCCCGCATCACTCACCGCAGAGCAAGCCTGTTCCTGATAAATCTGTTGTGAAAACGTGGGAAAAGCCGACGAGGAAGAAGTGGGGGTGAAGCGATCTTTATATAGGCGGAGCAAAATACTTCATCGCTCCGTCTATAGCGCATTGTGATTGGGTGGTTTATGCTGTCAATACAGGAGACAAACCAATGGGCCACTGACTGCTCGCTGTCCGTGCGTGATGGTCCTTGATAAAAAAACATTCTGTCGGCCCCTTAAAGGCACAATATGTAAGATTTTTTAAATTAAAATATCCAAAAACCACTAGAACAGTGTTATATATTTTGCTGACTTGTGTACTTACATTATCCCAAATGTTTCGAAGAATGTTTAAATCCAGAGAAATAAACAATTTTAACTAGTGACACGCACCATGTCTATAGTGTCATTGTGTCGCCTGCCAATGACGTCATAACCCCTCGATTTCCGGTTTTGTTTTGTAGAAAACATGGAAACACCAAATACGCTTTAATATGTTGTGCGTTTCATTAGACCGGTGATGACCGCACAGAGTAGCATTATAACAGAACTTTCAAACGTATCTAGTATGATAAAACAGCGCTGCTTTACCCCACATACGCATGACCGGAAGGAGCGGAAGCGGTCGACTGTGGCATAATAAAAACTCCGCTGCTTGCGAGCTGTGTGTCACGCTCGTTCGCTTCGACGGCTTTCAGCCTCACCCTACTTCATTCTACTACGTTAATAAATCGTTAGCTCATCCATGAACGTGATTTCTGCCCGAGTCCTGTCGGATTGCATCGGCTGTGGGGATGAAGACGGCAACTTCCATGATTCCACACTCAGTCACGGCGTCATCAAACTACGCCTTTGTCT